TTTGTTGCACCCGTATCTAACAGCATCATAAACGTTTTCCCAAAACCAGTGCCATCTATGTATAGGGTTTACCAATAGGGACGATAGGATTTTAAACGTTTAAGGCGGCTATGTTGGATGCCAAACATTTGACATATGCTGTCAGTTGTCATCAGTAAGGCTTGCCATTTCATCATGAACAAGTTCACGTTGCCTCAACGCTTGGAAATTATCCAACAACATGCCACACAGCGAACGCTACAATGGACTTATTGCGTCAACAGTTTGGTGAATCGTTGATTTCTCAAAATGGCCCCCACAATTGGCCGCCAAGATCATGCGATTTAACACCATTGGACTTCTTTTTGTGGGGCTATGTGAAGTCAAAGGTTTATGCGAATAAACCCAAGACTCTTGACGAGCTCGAGGCCAACATTCGAGCGACCATAGCTGCCATTCCACCCGATATGATCCACCGAGTCATCAAAAATTGGTCCGATCGGATGAGCCAGTGCAAAAAGAGCCGCGGTGGCCATTTGAACGATATTTTGTTTAAATCATAAATGGCATGAAATACAGCATCTAATAAAACCAATCAAACCTAAATTTGACCAAATTGACCGTGTTTTATTTCAATTTAAAATCATATCGCTCTTATTGGTAAACCCGTTATAAACTATTTGGTTGAGTTGAGTTAAGTAACGCGACTTGAATGGCAGTCTCCGGGGTATAACTTAGGCAGGTCTATGTTCACCCCTTCCCATCGACCCGTTTCCTGATTATTGTTCCATTTTTCTACAACCCTTGTATCACAGCCCTCAACGTTTTGTTCTGTTTCTGTTACAAATACTCCAATCTTTCCATACTTGCATCCTTTTCTTCTGTAGCAATGGTGTCCATGCATCCATCTAGGACTTCTTGTTGAAAATGGTTTAAAAAGAACAGTTCACATGTTGAAGGATTGATTGAAAACCTGATTTTTTGAAACCTTTCATTGATCCAGGTAGTACAAGATATTGTGATCAGAAATCAGGTCTTGGGTTATTGTGTGGATGGTAAGGTGGAGATAAGAGATCCACATGAATCACCTTGCAGAGCTCCGACCTGAGAAGACATGGTTTTGGTTCCGAAGAAAAGGGAAGAAGGGGTTGTATAACACTGGTACAGGATGCTGTAGAGGAAGGATGCTTTCCGTTTTACTTCTACAAGCATTTGGTGACTGTCTATCAAGTTGAAAGCATTTCGACAGTCCACTTTTAAAAAGACGTAATCCGTCTCTTTGAATAGCTTAATAAACGTTCTTGTCGTGTATATCACAGCTTCGCAACCACCTTTAGTGTTGACACCAAGTTGATAGGGATGGAGTTCTTCTCCCGTTTCAGGACCCACGTGTCCGCAGGCAATTTTGGCTGCGATCCTTCGAAAAGTAGCGGCCACGGCGATTGGCCCGACTCCGTCTTTCTTGGCTCAGAGGTTTGCACCGTAAAGTATACTCAAGACTGTTTCGCAAACTTTCACAGACAGCATAAGAGTTTAGTTTGATTTAGTTTACTCTTGAGAGTAGCCAGCTTCACCATTGGTAGGTCCAGTTAAGTCCTTTAAGTGCTGCGTGCGAATTTCATCCATTCCTGGGGCTCACCCGTTTGAAAATGATTGCATTGCTCCCGAGGCGTCATCATCGGTAGCCCTCTCGTAAATGTCTTCGCGGCATCTGGCAATTGCAAATGACGACTAGGATGGAGAGCAATAGTGTGGCGGCATCTTCCTTCGGAAGGCTATCCTCAGAGGACAGTAGGCAAGTGGCCTCCGATACTTTCGACTCGAACCGTCTAGTTAAGGAACTGCCAGAGTGGTTCTATAATAGGACTAGGATCGGTTTATGTTTGACAATTCTGAATCTCTGTTAATATTCTTAGAATTAAGTTTACCTCCATATTAAAAATTCCTTATCACTGTTAATTTTGACGCATTAGAGCACAAGTCAGCACAAACCCGGCATAAATTAGGACTGCTCCGTTCTTGCGCTTGTGGGAACAACTTAATGCCTACGTAACTAATATATGAAAAAGAAGAAAAAAAAGAAAGTCTCTAACAATATCAATGAACAAAAAATTGTTTTTTTTCTCTGATATATGACATTCATTTAGAACTAAGAATATTACCTAAGGAAATACGCGCTTATACATACAGATATTAGATGGGTACAAGTGTTTGTATTTCCATCGAATTTGAATTGCTTTAAAATTTCGCAGAATCGCATTAATTTTACTTAGGCATAATCATTTGAAGAACCTTTAAAGCGTTTAAGCGCGGAGATTTAATTTAAACGCTCGAAACTAAAATGATTTATATTTATTTCACGTCTAATAAATTATCGCTGTAGTCGAGCACATTCGTCGGTATATTGAATCCTTCAAAATAAAACCTAAAATCAATTTGAATAAATCTGTCTTACCCAGAGCTTCCCACACTCGCTGGTCCGTATTTTCATCCCATTTGACAATCGATGTTGCTCTCAATTCGGACTCATTCACATCGCAGAAAATTATGTATTCCTCGGGGATTGCAATCGAAGAATCGCATTCTGGACTTCTTCCAAAAAATGTTACATTTACATTCCTGTAACAATAAATCAGTAACAGAGATTTCGTTTTAAAAATGAATAAAACAAATTGATATTCTCGGAAAGCTGTTTTTGAAGGTACCGCCAGCAATTTAGGCAAAATCGAAATTAAATGCATATTTAAAAGAGAAAAATTTAATAAATGTATCAAGAGAATAATACTCTAGGGAGTTCGCTCTTTCAGCAGTTGGATTACGTCGAGTCGATGCCCCAGGTGCGCAGGGGGTTTAAACAGCTTTCTGATTTGGAGGTTGATAAAAAGTTTCTACATCAGAATTTTTTAAGGCAGCAATTAAGAACTTAATTTTTTCCTAAACCTATACATTTGGCAGATGTGTCGCCGTAAATTTGGTATATCTTTTGTTTATTTTCTCCACACCATTATACTTTTTTAAGGACATTCGTTGTCCAACTTAACTATATTTCCAACGCATCAAATTTGTTTCAATAATCAATAGTATGTAGTAGGTACATACTCATAAATATTATCTACACATAACTGTGCTGAACTCGACTCTTTTTAATCCGTATATTCACTGAAAATTGAAGGTGGCATTATATCCGAAGTTAACAAAGTATAAAAAGTAATGAAACACCGACACTACATTAAACATCGAGATGTTTAATTGAATACCACGCCAATACAGCGATTTGCTCTTTCCTTTTCGTCAATGTACCGTGCTCTATAGATTTCAATCTCATTCAGCGCAAGTAACCCCTTAATTCAATAATCGCGTATTAGTAACTGAACTTTTTCGCTCCATTCCAGCAAAAAAAATTGTCTTACAAAGTTTTCCAACTTGTTTTTTAGACTCGTATATATAAATGTCTTCGCTACGATGTTTATCTAACAAATATCTTCTGACAGTTGCTATTCAATATTTCAGAACACGCATTTCAAATCTAACATTTTCAATACAATTTACATCAATTTTGAAACGAGAAAACTACTACCGCGTTACAGCGAGTAAGTTAAAAGAAAGTTAAATTTGAATTTCTTTCATGAATAATTCTACTTCGAAAGATAAACACATCCGCTAGATGGGATTTTGATTTTAATTTTGTTCTTGTTTGTATACTTATTTTGACAAGATTTCCTTTTGCAATTAATAGAATATTGACTTAAAATATACATAAAATAAACCATCTATGTAGCTACAACGAAGTGGCGAAGATCACAAGGTGACTTTTTATATGAACTTTTACGTTTACTACTGTAACTTTGGTGACCTTTAACCTTTTGATCCCAAATTGAATATGGTTCTCATTCGGACCATGAGCAACCTATGCAGGCTGATTCAAATTTATTTTAATTTTTATTTTATTTTATTATCCCTGTCTTGTTTTGGGCCCTCAACAGGCATGCGCCCAATTACAGAGTAACCCGCATAATGCTATTTAGAGGTGCCTTAAGATGGTCTATACTACTCCGGTATTTACCTTATGAATTAGGAAAACTGCAGGAAAACCTAATTCGGAGTAGCCGGTAGAATGCTCGGAACTGCCCTAAGGTAATTTCCATCTCCGCCACAGATGAAAAATTCACCTCAACCGTAGCCTACCGATAGAACTAGCCGTGACACTCATCCCCACTATTGCTTTGACGTCACAACTGACGGCGGCCGTCATATCGACTTTTAATGTAATTAATTCCAAGTAAGTTTTATGTTAACTTATTTTGTAATGTTGTATACTTAAATTAACTGTATTCGAACAGAATAAGTAAGAAAATGCCAAGTAGGTGCTGCGTCCCTGGTTGCAAAAGCAATTATAGTTCAAGACACAAGGTTACTGTTTTTCTTTTTCCGAAAAATGAAGACAATCAAAAAAAGTGGTTAAGATGTATTCACCAGGACAATTTCGAAATTACTAGTTACTCCAGGGTTTGTATAAAGCAGGGTTTGAATAAAGAGCAGAAATGGTATGTATGTTTCATTACATTACTGAATCTCGCCCTTTGTACACATTTCTATGTAATTTAACCTAGGTACTTATTAAAGACATTTATTATTTCTCCGACATTTTCATTATTGGGGTAGATAAGATAACTATACAAGACGGTACAGTATGAAGAGTTCCACGAGACCAGATTAAACTTGCCGAAGACGCGTATCCCACCATTTTCGAAAATCAGCCATCATATATGAAAGGGGTGTAAATGATGAGTAACGGGAAAATATACACCTGCGCAACTACAAATGACCGAAAACCCGTAGTCCCTAGGTGGTCCAGGGGCCGAAATATCGATGGAACAGACAGATAGGCAGACGACGGAAAATCGAGCACATAAGCGTCACCTCAACTTCGTTTTGTTACGCTAAAAAAGGCAGATGTATGGTGCGCCGTTTTACTATTTATTATACATTTATAACGTATATGAAGATATTTAAATAACAATTGAATTGTTACCAACAAATTCAACATCTCAAAAAAATGTTAGCCAAATGTATGCAAATGTAAGAAATGTTAATATGGATTTTAGCGTTTGAATCCTAAAACACTACAAGATGACAGAGATGAATATTAAACATTGCCAATTTAATTGTCATGCATCAAAATAAATAGCAATTTCTATAAAAGATTTAAACACATAAGGCATTTATTTGGAACTGTCCAGCTATACCAGAAGTGAAATACATTTGCTGCTGTGTGTAATTGAATTGATATTAAATAAAATTGAGTCGAGTATGTTTGCATCCAAAAAAAAATGTAAACCATTCTCATGCGTATATCAAATTAAATCGCATGCATTGAAATTCGTATATATGCACTTTAAAGAACAAACGTTATTCACGTATGGGATTAAAATAGATACCCGTTGCGACATTACCTATGGAAATGAAATTATTCGTAAGGTATGGCATAAAAATTAAATCGAAGTTTAAGATGTAGCATTGAATTCCAATGAATTTAATAGTGCATCTTTTAATTAAAATGAACGTCGAATTATTTTGTGAATCATTTCTATGCGATACACCGCATTAAAATACATTGCATTTTAAATGTGCTTATACATACAATGGAAATTCGGTCTGCATAAAATGTAACGCATAAGAATAAGACACAAATTTAATGTATCAAATGGAAATGGTATGAATGAAAACTACTCTGCATGCAAATGCGCAGTTACGTTAGAGAAGGAAAGTAGCCGTAGGTCGTAGGTACGTTTTATTTGCGGTTGCGCAAAAACAAAACAGCTGTTATTGATTGTTACTTACATCGAACGTATAAATGGATTATTTATACGTTCATCAATTTTGAGAAGGCAAGCGATTTATTGGGTTATTTACGTCGGTCACACGTGACCTTTACAGTTTTTACGTACATATTCGGTAAGTCCAATTTTACGATTCCTTTTATGATAACAGTAAACAATGAATGTAGGATTTGCACCTGCTGCGCAATATTGTTTAATATAAAGCAAGAAAAAGGCCGATGGAAATCGAAAGATGTGCAAGAGGCGCCGGGTCCCCTTAACAATAAATTGGAGGTGTACGCTGTCGCTATAAAAATAGGTAATCTCAAATTTCACTTATTCTTACCTGTAATGCAAATTGAGTGAACAGTTACAGGTTCGTGGGAATTAATAATGGATAAAGAGTCCAGAGATAAACCGTGTTAATGGAACGAAGCTCATGTTCTACGACTCTTGTAAGGAACAAGCACATCGACAAGTTGATGCTCCTTCGTAATGGAAATTATGTCGAGTTCAATCGTGATATATCTACTAACACGATTAGTTAAATATGTAATCTCCATTGAATGAGAGATTTGTATATTTACAAGATGCTAATACATGTACCTGTGTAGAAACACGAGCACGTGAGACATTGTTAGACACGTATCTCGTTCTGTTTGATGGGTGCACCGTAGTATGTAAACGAAGACGTGTCATTCGCTAACAAAGTTACACAAATATTGTCAACAAAATTTGTATCCTGATAATTAAACGATTATCCTATTCGTCATCTGGAAGCGTTTATTTCAAAAGTGAACCACACATCGAGAAATGTAACTTCCCTACATACCAAAAGGCAGATTGAAAGAGAAGTCCTCGCAGGGATGATAGAAGCGTAGTTCCTCTTAAAAACCCCTGTTAAAGTTTTTCTAGAAGTGCTCCAGAATTTGAGAAATTAATTTTTTTGACCTAGCACATTTCTAAATAGAACACCTAACTTTGACATCGCATTAAAGAAGTTACAGAGAGGTTAGAAGAAAATCCCCTATAGGGGCGATAGAAGGGATGTTCCTCTTTAACACCCTGCTCGCGGTTTTTCTGGAAGTGCCCTAAAATTCGAGAACTTAATGATTAAGGGTATTTTGGTCATTCTTTTAAATGTGAACGTTGTGATTTTGGTCATCTGTTTTGCTCATGCGGGAGCTGTGGTTATGAAGCCGATTTTGTGTAATTGTTGCAGTTATTCACATTAAAGCCGGATCCGGCTTTATAGTTCCGTAGCCGTAAGAACGGAACCGTAAAATCTGACGTTAACGAAAATTATGCGATTTATTGTTACCGTAGTGGTAAGAGATGAGCTTGCGTATTTATCTGCCATTGTAAGTCATCTGTCAGTAAGAGTAACGTGCATTTCAAAATAATAATAACCAACAAAGTGTCAATAATTACTGTAAATAAACGAAACGAACGTCCGGATAAACTCAACTGTTTGAATTATCCGAGTACTATCGAAGACAGGCGCGTTAGCGCGATTTACCGTAAGGAATAAGATTTGGGCATTTCCTACGTACCGTAACCGTTCTAACGCAACGTAAACGGGAACTATAAATGTTCACGCGCAACAAGTAGGGTTTAATTCCAAACGTTACGGTACGGTGTTGCGGGTACGGAACTATAAATTCAGCTTAAATCACATGACAGCCGACAGGTTTGGTAATTTATTTTCGGCGAAGTCTTCAGATTAAATAGTATATTAAACCACGATTACTAATTTATTCATTTCATAATTTTTCGTTTTGGTTATAAGTTTTTGTGGTCCTGTGTATTGTACCTGTTAACGGTAATTTCTATATGTCAGCCACTTCCAACCAAATTCAAGTCCACGGCTTAGTAGCCACTGTTATGGAGGTGGTTAGAAGGCCTATTGGTGTAATATATTTATGAGGCATTTACAAAAATTGGAGCTGTAGATCCCGGTATATATACCGTAGCGTTCGAAAATGTGATAGGTAATTATTTTACAGTGTTCTTTTATTACCATATGTACCGATCACATTAACGAAATGGATCACTAATTGGAGTGTATTCATCTGGTTGGTCCACGCGCGGCGCCACTAAAAAAAGGTGCAAGAGTTGTAACCTCACTTTGCAATCTTTTTGGCTTTCCTTCAATAATTATCAAGAGGACTTCCGTTGTGTACATTTTTTGTTATATTCGAAACCTTAGATCTTACGAAACACTTTCATGGTAGTAAAAGTATATGCTAATGTAGCCTTGTAGGTATATGCTGTTTATCTCAGAGTAAGAAATAAAGATAGCGATGCCTTGATGCTTATCAAAACGCGCCATAATCTCGTCGTGTTTGTAAATATTGCAGGAAGCGAACTTGTCACATTTCGCGAAACCATTTTTTAATTAATATTAATAATAGATATATAGAAAGGATCTAAATGGATTTTTAAATATTTATAAAGGTGGTGAAAAACAAACTATTATAAGTTGAAATTAAACGGCCTAATAAGAAAATTTAAGATAATTAGTGTGTCACGACGGCAACGCTGTAGCGATTTGACAGATGAAACTATATCTGTTTATTTCTAAAAATCGTAATTTTCGGCATTTTTAGTTCATTTTATAGATTGAAACTTATTCCATTGTGTTTAATAATTTATCAGCACCCTTTGACATGGGGAAGGGTGTTCTGTTTGTGGAACTATCTTTGTTTCCTACTCTATATGTTTATAAATTTATGCGCTACATTTACACATGACAAAAGCATTGTTCTATAAACAGGCATGCACCAAAGTTACCGCATCTCATCAGTCATCATCAAATGTTTACCGACATTTTCCATCGTGGATCTACCGCTCCAGTTTTCGTAAATGCCCAATAGGTATTATGCTGTCGGTGCCCATATTACAGTGACTCTATAAAGACAGTGTGGCCATATGCTCATTTCCGCCATTTTTCCCAAATTTATTATTGAGCTTATGGGAGAATCGCACATTTTGAGTGTAGGAATGTTGCGATTTACGCAAATCCTTCTTTTGAGAATTTTTTTTCGGGAGGTTTTTAGGGGTATTAGCAGATCAAATTACCGAATGGCTTGGGTTGTTCAATAAATAGGATTTGACATGTGTGTTCATGGTCTTTGTCTTGTAACCGGCTGAAGTGTAAAGTACGGCTTGTCTTGAAATATTTTGTTATACCTTAACTGTGTCCTTTTGCTTTTTTGTATCAGGTGAGGTATTTGCTTTATTCAATTAATCTATAAATGTGCATAACTTGAATGTAGATTGTAACTCTTTACTTATGTACTTACTGGATTCAATCACTTGTACCTCTTAATGTGTAACCTTTGTTGGTATTGGCAGTCATGTTTCATTGTCGGTAGGGCTGTATCTGTGCTGTACAGTCTCTTGTAAAAGTAATGTCCCTCGGATACCTACCACTGTAGCATAGGCAACCAACATCCCAGCCGCCTAGTCCAAGTTGGATTTGAAGGTGTGCGAGGTAGCTATCTAATGCGGTTCATTTTCAGCAGATATTCCCATTTAGCCAAACTAAATACTAGTTAGTAGAATAAAAGTGAATGCCATCGATTTATTAGCTCAAAGGATCTGCGCTGCATATCCTTGGCTTGGTGCAGTAAACATTTTTACATTTCTTACAATTGGTTTGGTGCGTTTTAAATTTGCAAATAGTTTAGCTAGAGACTATTAAGACAAAATAATGGCCTTTCACTTTTTAATTTTTTGAGTAGTTTTTCTTCTAACGAAATAAAGGTGACATTCTTGTCCTTTAATGACATTGAAATTCCAGTGTCATTAATAATTACTTGCGAGTAGGTCTCCTCATGGAATGCGATTAATTGCCCTACAAGTGAGTGCACTGTGCAACAATACCTTTCTTTTGTAACTAGCATCAGAAATTGAATGATATGCATTTGTGATACTTGGTCGTGGTTGATTTAATATCGAATTTAGTTTAGGAGAGCTTTTACGTTGCATATTTTTGAGTAGGTAGGCATATTATAAGGATATTTAGTCCAGGTTATAGGTATATTTTTTGACAAAAAAAATTAGTTACCAGTTAAACCGGCTTTTTCATGCAGGTGAAATGATTAGAAATTAGGGAAAAATAATTAAAACAGCTGAATTTTTCCGCGGGTGTCATCCCGGGGTTTGAAAGAAGTGGGAGGTGGTAGTTACAAAAGGAACGGCATTGTCGCGCTTCCAGTGCAGATAATCGCATTCCATTAGGAGGCCCGAGTAATTAATAATGAGACATCAATTTCAATGTCAGTATAAAACGACAAAATCATCACATTTATTTTGTTAGAAGAAAATCTACTCGAAAAAATTAAAAGTAAAAGGTCATTATTTTAGCTAAACTATTTCCAAATTTAAAACGCACCAATTGAAAGAAATGTAAAAATTTCTATTGTATTAAACCAAGGATAGATTAAAGCAGCGCAGATCTTTTGAGCTAATAAATGCCATTCATTTTCATTCTACTTACTTATTTTTAGTTTGGCAAAGTGGGAATACCTGCTGAAAACGAACCGCATTAGATACCTACCTACCTCCCACACCCGCAAATCCAACTTGAACTAGTCGGCTGGGATGTTGGTTGCCTATGCTACAGTGGTAGGTATCCGAGGGACATTACTTTTACAAGAGACTGTACATACTTGCATGTGTACATATTTGCGTATTGTGCTTTTTAGTCACTCTCGATTATTTCATTGCATTTCATTATATTTGCTTATTTGGGACTGGAGTAATCAAGAGGGAAGTGTGCTTGTTTAGAGGGGATCGAGTTATTCAAGTTTATACGGGCCTTGGTGAACCTAACACTAACATTTTCACTCGTTCCGAACCCAACAACTTTAGCCCATGTCTACAGGGCCTGGGTAATCCTCCCGGCCGTCGAGGTATATTTAACACTTCTTAGTTTTGCCTGATGTATGTGTTGTAATACCTGGAGAATGTCTCGATTCCATTTTGGTTACTCATAGCGTGTTTGTAGTATTTACCCCGGTTTCGAGGGGGCTCAAAAGTGCTGTACATTAGATGTTTATTATAGGACTACTCCGAATTAGGTTTTCCTGCAGTTTTCCAATTCGTAAGGTAAATGCCGGAGTAGTATAGAACCACCTAATACCCTCTGCAGGGGCGCCGCTAAAAACCATTATGCGGGTCACTCTGTAATCGTATTGGTATTAGATTCAATATAAACTTAATCAGCTATTTATTTTTACTTTTGGTGTTCCTTATCCATAAAACACCCTCAGTGCCTGCTGAGAACCCAGTTATTACACAACGTAGGTGTCCTACATGACGATCACGATCTTAGTGCACTCTGAGTGGCCCCCGAGTGACAGATTCTCGCGGGAAACTTAAGCGAGAATATTCAAATAGGCAGCCATGTTAGTTTGGCATTCCCTCTACTACAGAATATGGTCAAATATTCCGGTGTGATTTGAAGTTGGCGTTAGCCCGCCAAGATCGGGTTCATAACCACAGCTCCCGCATGCGCAATAAAAATTACGGAAAGCACAAAGTTCACATTTAAAAGAATGAAGAAATTCTCTTAAATTAATTTATTTCCAGACTTTGCATAACTTTATTTACAATTGGTTATCAAATTACAACCACTATATCTCCGTGTTGATAGTTACGTTGGTACAGCCTTAATTTTTTTCTTAAATTGTAGAGTACCTACTTTTAGAAAAACCAAAAAATCGGTTATTTAAGTTATGTCAGGTCTATTCTACCGCCCTCGCT